TGGTTAAATGTCTGACTTCGGCTCAGGTCATCATCTCACAATTTGTGAGTTTGAGCCCCGTGTCGCACTCTGTGCTGACAGCTCACAGCCTGGAGCCTGCTTCAGAATCTGTGAGTCCCTCTCTCTCTGCCTTTCCTCCACTCATGCTCTGTCTCTCTGCCTCTCAAAAAACAAATAAATGTTAAAAAAATTTTTTTAAGCAAATAAAGAGATTTTCACTCTGGTTATTCTTAAATTTCTCATCAGATTTTTATTTATTTTAATTTTTTTTTTAGAGAGAGAGGGGGAGAGAGCATGAGCGGAGGAAGAGAAGAGGGAGAAGGAGCGAGAGAATCTTAAGTAAGCTCCGGGCCCATCTTGGAGCCCGAAGTGGGGCTTGATCTCATGATCATGACATCATGACATGAGCTGAAATCAAGAGTCAGACACTTAATCCACTGAGCCATCCAGGCATCCCTTGTTTTTATTTTTTATTTCAGTATAGTTGACATACAATGTTACATTAGTTTCAGGTGTACAACGTAACAATTCAACAACTCTATATATTATACTATGCTCTCCACAAGTATAGCTACCATCTATCAATTGTATGCTATTATAACACCATTGACTGTATTCCTTAAGCTGTACCTTTTGCTTATCAGAGTTTTTAATTGCATATCTATTTATAAACAATAAACTCTAATGACACTCCTGTGTGTGTTGCTCACATCAGTACCCTGTTTGGATATGATGGTGATGTGAACCTTTATACTAGCACTTGTCACACACACACATTCAGATATGCCAAATTGTCTCACAAATACATTCAGAGATGCCGAAATGGCATTGAATTAGATCCTTGGCTACCTGACTATTCAGTCTTTGAATAGCTAGCTGAATATAAAGCTGAAGCCTAGCAGCAAATTTTAGCCAAGCAATGAAACCATAGTAGAACTCTTTTTCATCCCTACTTTCTCAAATTTAGTCATTCTTTGGAAGGGGCCCATTAGGGACAGTCATTGGAGTGACAGCCTCTCCACCTTCTTATCTCTGGTGACTAAAGTGTTAAACATGGCCTCTGAGAGGGTCTCAGGAAGATTCATTTTGGTACTGGGCATTATTAACTGAGCGGGTGGGTTTTCACCCTTATTTTGTCTGTTCAGTTTCCCCAGAACATTAGTTCTGCTAATATTGTGTCTTCCTGCTCGATAGACACAATAAGTGAATGTGGTCTTGGCACAGTTGATATGCATGGCTTTCCTGAGGAGGTGATGGGAACCTGAGTGAGTTTTTAGCAGGTGGTTCCCAGGCTTCATATTTACCTTCATGATGCAACTTGGCATCATGCTTGGCATCTGCTGAAGCTTGAGCTAGAATAATAAAAAGTACTTAAATTTTGGCTCCACTCCTCAACTTAGACTCCACTGAAACTTAATAATCTGCAAATTTAAACTTGAACATAAAAATGGATTTACTTTTGCTTTTTTTTCCCCTGTGACTTTATTGTCTGCTGCAAAACAGAAGCAGCATCCATGCAAACCATGAGAAAGGGGATGGGAACCAAATCTGCTAAAAAATTCTAAAAGCTGGTGTATGTCTTCTTTCCAGGATCACCTGCAGTTTGGATGGAGCTAAAATTCAATGTTCAACTGTAAACAATTTCTTAGAGATTGCGGACTTATGTTTGTGTGGTGTACTCTGAGGAAGGAATGCGTTTTGCTCCTCCCGAGTTGCAAATCTCAGAGCAGGAAGTCAGATTTTTAGAACTCTGCATGTAACTTCATGCCCTGCTCTTTCTTTATTTTTAAAAAAAATTTTTAAGGTTGTTTGTTTGTTTAGAAAGAGAAAGAGAGAGAATGCGGAGAGGCAGAGACAGAGAGAGAGAGAGAGAGAGAGAATGCGGAGAGGCAGAGAGAGAAAGGGAGAGAGAGAATCCTAAGCAGGTTCCGTGCTGTCAGCACAGAGCCCAATGTGGAGCTTGAACTCATGAACTGCGAGATATGACCTGAAGCGTAATCAAGAGTCAGATGCTTAACCAATGAGCCACCCAGGTGCCCCCATGCCTTCCTCCTTCAGAGCAACCTCAGCCATCTGTGTACATCTCTTGGTTGCCTACCTCTTGCCCACGTTCTCTGAAGACCAGTCTAATTTTTAATTCAATTTTACATCCCAAGCAGTCAGCACAGTGTTATGTGAGAACTCGGTGAAAGTCATTACTACTATGGCTACTATTACGACTGCTGGTAGTACTCATTGTTTCTACCACTGTTGTTGCTGCAGCTGCTGTTATAACCAGAGTTAGCTTCTGAGCTAGTGGCACCCTCTCAGGCCTGGGGAACCCACGTACTCTCGCATTTTGATCGCTTTTTGTCCAACCTCTGGAGACGGGCATGGCAAGGGAGGAAGATAAGGAGGCTTTCTGGATGGAGGGAAAAGTCTGAAAGTTTATGATAGGAAAACCACTCCCATATTGCAAATGATGATATGAATATTATAAATTTGCTATAGCTCTTGGATTTTTAAAAATATTTGTACATTTGTGACACTTTCATTTTCTGTTGAGTATTTGGTTTTCCCACTAAAGATATGATTGCTCTGACCATGGTGATGCTGTAGGAGGAGATGTAAATATGAGTCCATCCATTTTATCAATAATGAAGCAAACATTTATTCACCTGATGAACTGGAACAAGTCTTTTGGCCTGAGCTCCACTTTCATTAGAAATTTAAGATAATCAACTTTGTCTTAGTGTTTTTGAGGATGAAAGGAGGAAACCAATATGAAAGGGATATATAAACTGCCAGGTTCTAGACAGAATGAGGTGTTATTGTATGGCTGTGGCTGATCTTTCCTCTGAATTTCCAGTAGCACTTTGCACTGAATGGCAAGTTTAGTTGGTTTGGAGGTGAGAGCTATGCTCTGGTTGGAAGTACCAGATATGAGGCTAAGACAAAACAAAACAAAACAAAACAAAACAAAGCTAGGAGCAAAGCCATCCCCACCACTCCACTAGTTACGTGACCCACGATATGTTCCTGAAAAAAGAATCTTAAAGCTATTTAGCTCAAGGTCATTCACTGTGAGGATGAAGTAGAAAAGTGTCTCTAAAGGCACTGGGTACCTTGAACATGCTTGGTTGGTGCTTACAAAGTATTTCTTCAGGGCAGCAAAAAGTAAAGGTTCTGAGCAGGCAGCACAGAGAGGGAAAAGCCTAACTCAGACTATTGGTGTGACGTGAGCAAGTCCCGTACTGGCCATAATCCCATTTCCTCAGATATGAATTGGGAGTCATGATAGTAGTTCCCTTAATTATCTCTTAGGGTTATTATAGAAACTAAAAGTGGCAATATATCACTAGACTTAAAGGCTTAGTTTATTCATCACACAAAGGTTAGAGCCATGCTTGCGATAATTCTTCTTATTTCCAGAAAGCTAGTCTTAAGCCGTCCAGGTTTATGCTGACTGAATATAATGTCTAGGATGCTCTTTTGACAAAATGCTGGCAAGTCATCATGCACTTGACTGCCTCCGTTCAGGCCACCTTTTGGGTGATGAAAGGTTGATAAAAATTAATGAAGATGGAGGAAGAAAGGAAAGAGGCCCGGCTGGTGAGACAAACTCTAGCAACTTTGATAAGATGAAGGCTTTATTCCTGAGCCCCTCTCCCCTGTCTTTTCTATGGAAACCTTTGTGAGCAGGAAGCCAACCAAAGAGTGCTGGAGAAAGCACCATGTGGAGGGGAGAGTGTCATGGCTCCTGGCTGAGGAGGCTGGCCCTGGACACTAATTCCATGTATTCATGTCTACAGTGCAGTCAGGGCTGTGTAATAACAACATGTATTGAAATTGTACTGTGTGTGCCACCAGGACATTCTCAGTGAAGTCTCAAAAACAATCTCTGAGGCCAGTGCGAAGCCCAGGATGTTCTCCCATTACAGACTTAGTAGGTGGCAGAGGTGGGATTTGAGCCCAAGTACTCCACGTTACCTTCCCCTTTCAGCTCTAAGCTTCTATACAGTGGTGGCCAAAGATGTTTGAGCAAGCAGGTCTGTGTGGGGGCACCACTCAGAAATGGTTTATGTTAGCAGTTTGTTTTATTCATCCTTCCGAAGGTAGAGCTGGGGAATAAGCTCTTTTACTCCTGAGAGCTCGGGGAGTAAACAGAGTTGGTTTGTCACATTTTTAAGCAGAGGAGAATGTAAATATTGGCTTATAGAATAGTAACAGTGCTTCCCTATGAGGGTCCAGCAGAAGAGTAGCCTGCAAACCAGTCCAGAAGAGTGAGGTGACCCAGGAGACCCTGGTGTTTCAGATGTTAAGGGAGTGGGAATCCCTTCCCAAAGGCCACAATGCTCCACTGTGTCCAGTACTGCTAAGAGATCAGATCAACAAGAATCAAAAAGGCCAATGAGATTTACCGGTTAGAAAACAGGTGGCTTTGCCAGCATTTGAAACACATCACTCATCTCATTCTGTTTCTATCTAAAAGGGTTTTCTGCTGGGGTTGTTCTTTTATTTTGCCCCCAGTTTTGGTGGAGACTACCCTCTTTGGGGCCACTCTGTGTATCCCCTACTTCATACAGCTCACATTAAGTCCCTTGTTGCTGAACTTAGTTCCCTGATTGTCAAATCACTATAAAGATGCATTTCTGCTCCAGCTGCATAGCCCAATAGTCTCCAAAAGACCATCCAGATCTTTTCTGGACCTGGATGTTTTAAGTCAGTCAACAAATCTGCGATTGCAATGATCATTTTTGTCTTCAGACATATTTTAGCTGCATCTGAGAGCTAATGGATTTTCTTTCTTAAACTTTTTTTTTTTTTAATTTGAAATATTCCAGTCATGCATTTTGATGGCTGGGAGAGTGAAGTACTAGTAGTCTAATCACCCTGGAAACACAGATGCTTTTGTGAGCTGGCACCGAGGTGAGGCTGCACGTCTCTGTGGGAATGACAAGTGAATGAGTCTGCCGCTCACTGAACCTGCTGTTCTTTTCTCTCTCTGTTTTCTCTCCTAGGAAACAGATGGAAGACTGCTGTGACCCCGCCCATCTCTTTGCCATGACTAAAATGAATTCCCCCATGGGGAAGAGCATGTGGTATGATGGGGAGTTTTTATACTCATTCACCATTGACAACTCAACTTATTCTCTCTTCCCCCAGGTTAGTATAGAGTTTGTTGCCTTTCAATATAGTTTCCTGTATGTCTTGATATCATAGGGAAAAGATCATTGAGTTTGCCTCACTTATCAGATCTCCTTTTCAGCCCCTTTCTTTCTTCTTCATTATAAATGTTTTTCTTTATCGCTGTCGCGTTTTTGGTGAAGAAATCACATAACATTTTCACATATGGGCAGAAGTGGGCTATTACAGAGTAGTAGTTTTCCTAGCCTTTCTGACTTGTGTCCTATGAGACTGAAGGAAGCAAGCAGAGAAGGAAACAAGGTCAGGAATTTTGGAATTCTAGTGTTTTGAGGTTGGCTGTGGAATGATCTTGAAGATTTGCAATACTGCAATTTTTTTCCTAGGACTGGTGTTATTCTCAGGGGCTGGGGACCATATGCTCGGAAGTTTGCTTCTTAGAGCTCTTGGATCTTAACCCTGTGGTTACAAACTGTTCTGAAGTGGAGGTGGTGGATATGGAGAGAAAGAATTCGACCACTTTTGAAGTGGTCTAAATCAAGCCTTGTTTATGTAAGGTTTTTCTTCTTGGTTTCCTGAGCATTGCAATCAAATGGCTTACTACAATGTATGGAGGGAAAGGGAAAAATAGAGAAATCTTTATTTCTAGGGGAGCCCTAGCTGGTGGAGGGGTTGTTAGGTGAAACTGTCATTTAGGAGAAATTGAGAAATGAAGCTTGGCCTCCCCAAGTCTTCAAGCTACTCTTGGTTTGACCAGATGATTGTGCAGAAAGGGAATTCACCATGAGAACTGGAGGTTCAGGGTCAGGGCTGAACCTTTCATGTATCTGTATTAATAGCAAAGAGTCTTCAGAGAAGGGACCCCCTAAAGCTGAGGCACAGGCTTTACCAGACCCAAAGACCCATCTATGAAATTGCCCATCTCTGCTAGTTCATCTGTAGGTGTTTTAGTCTAACTTAATGATTTTAGTGTGTAATGATAAATTTTTTAAAAAATTTTGTTTTTTAAAGTCAGAAATAGAAGGTTAAATATATTTTCATCATCCATGTGCTTTCTTTCTATTCTTTATTTGCCCTTGGGAGGCTTCTTAGTGTCAAAAGAAATGACTAAGAGTCATAGAATGTGATACTGAATTTCTTCTCCATTTCTAGCTACCTAAATGCCTTGCTAAGTCACCCAACTCTTCTGATGTGAGACTCAGCTTTCTCATCTGTACAGTGGGAAGAGTAGTACCTGTCCTAATACCTCACAGAGTTGGGGTCAGGATCAATTTAGATAATGCACACCCACGTACTTTGAAACCACAGAGCATATGTAAACATTAGATGTTAATGTTGTTCTGGTTCACATAATTGCATCTTCAGACTGAGAAATGAAGGATATAATTGCATTAGTCAGGGTTTAAGGCAGGGAACGGAAATCTTCCTAGGTATTTTTAGCAGAAGGATATTTCTTATTGGAAATTAGGTGTTTAAAAAAGCATTAGAAGAATGAAGAAGTGGGAGTCAAGAGGTGGTTCCTGGAATTACTTAGTTCAAGAAATTACCGCCGTAATTGTGGTTTAGAGATTAGAAAGTCCCAGCTGCCATTGCCATTAACATGGTCACAACTGTCTGTGACATAAACAGCGCCAGTAAGAGGGGTTCCAATTCATCTTCTCTTTCCAAATCTCCCCCAAATGCATCTAGTGGATAAGATTAATTTGCATCTGGGGGCGCCTGGGTGGCTTAGTCGGTTAAGCATCCGACTTTCGCTTAGGTCATGATCTCACAGTTTGTGGGTTCGAGCCCCGCGTCGGGCTCTGTGCTGACTGCCAGCTCAGAGCCTGGAGCCTGTTTCGGAGTCTGTGACTCCCTCTCTCTCCGACCCTCCCCTGCTCACACTGTCTCTCTCTCTCTCCTAGAAATAAATAAAACATTTAAAAAAAAAAAAAAGATTAATTTGCATCTGGAACATTAGTTACAAAGAAGTCCAGGAGAGGCAGTTTTTAAAACAATCAAGCTTCAGCAGGAAGCTAGAAAACAGATGGAATTAAGAGTGAACAACCAATCCACAGTGTCCTTTATGTACAAAACCTGGTATCAGCTTGCCATGAAGTGAAGAAGAGATAAGGAAGCAATCTTCTTTAACAGCTCATCAAATAGAAAAATTTTTAAAGAAATCCAAAATAGTCTTTTTATACATGAGGGCTTTCAGTCATCCCAACGACTTCTAACTTTGTGCTAGCAAATAGATTAGAAGAAAGGAGATGATTAAAGAAATACAAACTAGCCTCCCATATTATCTGTCAATTGCAGCAGTAAGATAGCAGGAAACATTTGCTTTTTAAAGTGCACACATGAATTCTATGCATCTTTATGCTGGCTGCAAGACCAAGGAACCATCCCTGAATAATAAGGAAAAATGGTGGGTTTTTTTTTAAAGGAAGCAGACGTCATTGTGTGTTTGCACAGTCATTACAAACGGCTAAACCAATTCAATGAGAAGATTTGTTTTAAGTTACTGAGATTGTCAAACTACTAATTTATCGAAATCCTGGAAAATCAGTATGCATCAGTAAAAAGGATGAGGTATATTCCTGTGCCCTCACTCCATTATTATTTCTTAGTGAGATTGTTCTGCTTTGCTATCAGGAAGCTAAGTTATCAGTTAATTGATAAGCTTCATTCATATTCCACTGGGAAGAAAGTTGTGTGTGCTGGTTAAGCAGAAATGCAGCTGAGTGGGCTCGGCTCAGTTTGTCAGTTGAATGAAGCACTGCTTCTTTCCCTGAATTTCAGCAAAATAATGCCAAATCATTCACTCTCCAACTCAGATGTATAATTTTATATCAATATGCTAATTTTAAAAAAGTTTATTCATTTATTTTGAGAGAGAGACAGCAAGCAGGGGAGGGGGAGAGAGAGAGAGAGAGAGAGAAAGAGAAAGAATCCCAAGCAGGCTCTGTACTGTCAGTGCAGAGCCTGATATTGGGCTCGAACTCACAAACTGTGAGATCATGACCTGAGCCAAAATCAGGAGCTGGACCCTTAGCTGAGCCACCTACACTCCCCTCAATATGTTAATTTTAATTACATATTATACTTTTCTCCTAAATGCTCAAATGTGTTATCCATCATTATTGTTATTATTCCATTACCTACCTTTATCCACTACTTTTTTGCTGTTGCTGTGGTTGTTGCCAAGATGCACTGCAAGATCTTATGCATGGTATGCACAGTTAGCAGGCCCTGAATCAAGGTTAGAGGGTCCACAGATCGTCTTATTGAGATCCAGTGCTTTGAGATGCCATATTGAATCTTCTTAATTACAATTAGTTGTTTCTTCTTTTCTTAAATTTATTTATTTATTTTGAGAGAGAGAGCGAGTGAGCCAGGGAGTGGCAGGGAGAGAGGGAGAGAATCCCAATGTGGACTCGATCTCTTAAACTGTGAAATCAGGACCTGAGCCGAAATCCAGAGTTGGATTCTTAACCAACTGAGCCACCTAGGTGCCCCATACAATTAATTGTTTCGTATTTGGACCTCCCACAACTTCCTGTAGTTTTATTATTAAATTCATTCAAATTCATCTCATTCTTATCCACATATCTATATATTTATATATTGCAGTTTTCTAAAGCCCTTATCTGCTGATTTCAATACCATCTTGTGAGCTTTTGAGTAACAAGAGTAGTTTTTCACTTTTGGGCCTAGTGTGGTGCCCAAGGTATATCTATCTTGATATAGATACTCCTTTCCAGCTGCTTGTGTTTGCCTAGGCCTCCCTGCCTTTATCCCATTGGGGTGATTCACTGCAGTGCCCTTGCTCGAACAATTGGAGACCAAGCAGGACATTTTGATGCAGCTATTTCCAAATGTCTCTATAAATGTATTTTGGAGAAATGTTTGTTGAATATTATTAAGCTTAAAGGACTTAATTTTAACCCTTACATAGATTTTTCTAGAATATTCTGTGTGTGTGTGTGTGTGTGTGTGTGTGTGTGTGTGTGTATGTGTCTTGGAGGGGAAAGTGTGATGGTAAGTGTTCCCAGTTTGAGAATACCCCATCCCTTGGGTCCCCACTTCCTTCCTGCTTTGCCCAAAACTGTCTCGTTTAAGCATGCATAGTCCCATGTGTGTAAATACTACTGAAATAAACACTATTTTGACCTAAAGCATGCTTATGCCCAGAAAAAGCATAAATTTCCTTGGAATTGAGCAAGGGAACAGCAGGAATACTAGAAACCACAACTGTGCAGTTATAATCTGAAAAATATTTCCTTTTGGTATAATAAAAACATGGTCAGATTGCCATTCTCTCACATGAATAGTCATGTGATATAAATCACAAACCAGACTGGCCATTTTTTCTTAGAATATCCACCCAAGGCCATTTGTAAAGAATCACAAAGCATCATTATTAATACACCCCAGACAGACGCTCATTTCCAGCTCTTCTGGTTGCCATAAGTTCTCTGATGTGTTCCACTCGGCCTGGACCCACATTGCCCTTGGCCTATGAGAAACTCAGCAGGACATTCTGAAGTAGTTTTGCCCAAATGGCTTTGTTAAAATGAAAATACACATCCCCCCACCCCCCTTCACAGTAATGTGCTTAATAGAATCATCTGAGCCCTTGGACATCTCTGAGTCTCATAGTAATATTTTTTCCTGCTAATGAAATTTGGATTATACTGTATGACTGACAGCATTTGGTAACTTGATTTTTTTTACTTATCAATATTATTGTGATCATTTTCCAAACATATACCTTTTTGACTGGAAGGAAACTAAGGGGACTAATGTTTGGTGGGTATAGATCTTTGCCAAGTCTGTGTTGGGTTCATGTTGTCAGGCTTACATCTGGCTGCTTTATAACAGAAACCTGACACAGAGGCTTAATTGAATACGTGTTTATTTATCTCTAAAAATAAGGAATGGGCAGATGAGTAGTTGAGGTCCAGGTGAAAGCTGTACAGTGCCATTGAGCTCTCAGGCTCCTGTCTTGATGCTTGGATATCCTTAGCTCATGGCCAAGA